GGGCCAATGGCTTCAAACTACAAGAAAGGAGATTCCATCTGAACGTGAGGAAGAACTTCCTGACTGTGAGAGCCATTCAGCAGTGGAACTCTCTGCCCTGGAGTGTGGTAGAGGCTCCTTCTTTGGAAGCTTTTAAACAGAGGATGGATGGCCATCTGTCAGGGGTGATTTGAATGCAATATTCCTGCTTCTTGGCAGGGGGTTGGACTGGATGGCCCATGAGGTCTCTTCCAACTCTAGGATTCTATGATATCCCGGGATATAGGGCTGTATGGAAGGGGTCTGACCAAAGCCCAATAGGACAAGGAAATACAACTTTCATAGAATCATAGAATCATAGAATCAAAGAGTTGGAAGAGACCTCATGAGCCATCCAATCCAACCCCCTGCCAAGAAGCAGAAATATTGCATTCAAACCACCCCAGACAGATGGCCATCCAGCCTCTGTTTAAAAGCTTCCAAAGAAGGAGCCTCCACCACACTCCGGGGCAGAGAGTTCCACTGCTGAACGGCTCTCACAGTCAGGAAGTTCTTCCTCATGTTCAGATGGAATCTCCTGTCTTGTAGTTTGAAGCCATTGTTCCGCGTCCTAGTCTCCAGGGAAGCAGAAAACAAGCTTGCTCCCTCCTCCCTGTGGCTTCCTCTCACATATTTATACATGGCTATCATATCTCCTCTCAGCCTTCTCTTCTTCCGGCTAAACATGCCCAGCTCCTTAAGCCACTCCTCATAGGGCTTGTTCTCCAGACCCTTGATCATTTTAGTTGCCCTCCTCTGGACACATTCCAGCTTGTCAATATCTCTCTTGAATTGTGGTGCCCAGAATTGGACACAATATTCCAGGTGTGGTCTAACCAAAGCGAATAGAGGGGTAGCATGACTTCCCTAGATCTAGACACTATACTCCTATTGATGCAGGCCAAAATCCCATTGGCTTTTTTTGCCTGCCACATCACATTGTTGACTCATGTTTAACTTGTTGTCCACAAGGACTCCAAGATCTTTTTCACACGTACTGCTCTCGAGCCAGGCAACCCCCATTCTGTCTCTTTGCATTTCATTTTTCCTGCCAAAGTGGAGTATCTTGCATTTGTCCTGTTGAACTTCATTTTGTTAGTTTTGGCCCATCTCTCTAATCTGTCAAGATCGTTTTGAATTCTGCTCCTGTCCTCTGGAGTATTGGCTCTCCCTCCCAATTTGGTGTCATCTCAAAGATTGAGAATTGCATTGGCCTTTTGGGTTGCAGCGCTACACTTTCGGCACAGCTGGTGCCACAACCCTTGGCTGCGAAGCCTTCCTTGTAGCCTACGTTCTGTTTTGAACTCTAAATACAGAAGCCACCAGAAGCCTCCTCTTCCTGATCGGTCACTGCGCCCAGGAGATAAAGCCGACTGGTGCGAAGGAGGGGAAAGGGAGGGGGGATTTGCAGTGCGGTCATGCCTTTCGAAGCCACAGGCAGAAGTACATTTCCTCTTTTAGTTTCCCAAGAGGCTGGAAGGTGACTTATTTGTGCAGCAGAAATGGACGCCAACACCCCTGCCGCCTGCTTCCGACCACCACCTGAACACATATTTTCATTTCTACTATATCATGATTCAATCTGTCACTTTTGGTGTATCTGCAAGTCTTGGTGCTTCAACACCACAGAATTAATGCAGTTCTATAGTGTAGATGCACCTATAGCAGGCATGGGCAAACTTGGGCCATCCAGGTGTTTTGGACTCCAACTCCCATCATTCCTAACAGCCTCAGGCCCCTTCCTTTTCCCCCTCAGCCGCTTAAGCGGCTGAGGGGGAAAAGGAAGGGCCTGAGGCTGTTAGGAATGGTGGGAGTTGGAGTCCAAAACACCTGGATGGCCCAAGTTTACCCATGCCTGACCTATAGTCTAGTTTCTTCTTAATGAGGAAAATATTCTATTTATTTTATGCCACCCTTGACAAAGACCTGGCAAACTTATTGTACTGAAAACCGGTTTGGGAAGAAAAGGTTGGTGAAAACGAACCAAAACATAACGTGTGCCACTTTTGGAATGAAAGGAATGCATGCCCTCAGAGATGTGTATCCAGCACAGAAGTTGTAGAAGATTAACCCCAAACTAGAGTCATTTAGACTCTGGTTTGGGGTTGTGCAAAAAGTGCCCAAATCCAAAAGCAATGCAGTGGCTCCAATGGGTCTTTTTTTCCAAACTGTTCACGCTGGCGACATGCTTTTTAGACATGCATCCTTTCATGACAGAGTAATTTTACTAGGTCTCTACAAAAAACAATTCAGTACATACAACAGGACATGAAGTTTTTTGCAGTGGTTGTTAAATAGCAAACCAGAACTTTAACCAATCCTAGATAAGTTTTATACAATGTATTGTATAAATACATATAGAACTCCAATATGCTGATGATAATGTAGTCTGTGCGCATTCAGAAGACGGCCTACAAACCACTCTAAACATGGGTTGTTGTAGGTTTTTTTGGGCTATATGTCCATGATCTAGAGGCATGTGGACAATTTCAACAGAAAGGGGGAAACCATGAAAATGAACAAAATCTGGCTACCAGTATTAAAAAACTCTCAAATTACAACAGCAAAACAGCAGAGAGGAAAACAATCAGGCACATCTTAACACCTCTCAACAAAAGATTCCTCCAGGCTCAGCCAGGCCTTCTAATGCTAATGAAGGTGGTCAGTTAAAACATTCAGACCTAGTTCCAGCAGAGAAGAGCTCTTTGCCCTACCCTGGTCTTTCCACAGATATATAAACCCATTTTCCTAGTTCCAACAGACCTCACTACCTCTGAGGATGCTTGCCATAGATGCAGGTGAAACGTCAGGAGAGAATGCCTCTAGGACATGGCCATATAGCCCAAAAAAACCTACAACAACCCAGTGATTCCGGCCATGAAAGCCTTCAACAATACACTCTAAACATCTTTACAGAAGCATATGAGAAGCTCGACCTCTCGTTGAGCATCGAGAAAACCGAAGTGTTCTTCCAGTAGTCACCAACCATTCCCTCTCCAATGCCAGAAATACAGCTTAATGGGGTAACATTAGAAAATGTTGACCATTTCTGCTCCCTTGGTAGCCATCTCTCTACAAAAGTCAACGTTGACACTGAAATACAACACCGCCTGAGGTCTGCAAGTGCAGCATTTTTCTGAATGAAGCAGAGAGTGTTTGAGGATCGGGACATTCATAGGGAGACCAAGGTGCTTGTTTATAAAGCCATTGTCCTCCCAACCCTGCTATATGCCTGCGAAACATGGACTGTCTACAGATGTCACAGTCAACTCAGGCCCCTTCCATCAGTGTTGCCTCCAAATAATCCTGCAAATCTCTTGGGAAGACAATCGGACAAATGTCAGCGTGCTGGAAGAAGCAAAGACCACCAGCACTGAAGCGATGCTCCTACTCCATCAACCCCACTGGACTAGCCATGTTGTCCGAATGCCTGATCACCGTCTCCCAAAGCAGTTACTCTACTCCCAATTCAAGAACAAGAAATATAATGTTGCAGGAAAAGAGATTTAAAGATGAGCTCAAAGCCAACCTTAAAAACTGTGGCATAGACACTGAGAAATGGGAAGCCCTGGCCCTTGAGCACTCTAGCTGGAGGACAGCTGTGACCAGCAGTGCTGCAGAATGGAAGGTGAAAGGGAGAAATGTGTCAAGAGGAAGGCGCATCAAGCCAACAAAGGATTCCCCGGGGCAGTAAACAGCCAGACCTTGAAGCTGCAAGGCTATTCATTGTTTACTACCTGGGGGAATCCTTTGTTGGGAGGGGTTAGCTGGCCCTGTTCATTCATGCCAGGAATTCCTCTGTTTTCTGAATGTTTTTCTTTATTTACTGCCTGGATTCCCCCAGGTAGTAAGCAGCCAAACCTTGAAGCTGAAAGGCTATTCAATGTTAATCAAGGTGACCAGTTGCAACATTCACACCTGCTTCCAACAGACAAGAGTTGTTGAAGGCTTTCATGGCTGGAATCACTGGGTTGTTGTAGGGTTTTTCGGGCTATATGGCCATGGTCTAGAGCAGGGGTCCTCAAACTAAGGCCCGGGGGCCAGATACGGCCCTCCAAGGTAATTTACCCAGCCCTCACTCAGGGTCAACCTAAGTCTTAAACTACTTGAAAGCATACAATAATAACAACCCTAAAAGCAGGCCCACACTTCCCATTGGAATACTAATAAGTTTATATTTGTTAAAATTGTTCTTAATTTTTTTATTTTAATTATTGTATTATTTTAAGTGTTTTTTGCACTACAAATAAGATATGTGCAGTGTGCATAGGAATTCATTCATTTTTTTTTCAAATTATAATCCGGCCCTCCAACAGTTTGAGGGACTGTGACCTGGCCCTCTGTTTAAAAGTTTGAGGACCCCTGTCCTAGAGGCATTCTCTCCTGACGTTTCGCCTGCATCTATGGCAAGCATCCTCACTACCTCTGAGGATGCTTGCCATAGATGCAGGCGAAACGTCAGGAGAGAATGCCTCTAAACCATGGCCATATAGCCCGAAAAAACCTACAAAAACCCAGACAAGAGTTCTTTCTCCCACCCTGGACATCATTCCACAGATATATTAACCCCACTTGCCTTGTTTCCAACAGACCTCACAACCTCTGAGGGTGCCTGCCATAGATGTGGGCGAAATGTCAGTAGAGAATGCTGCAACCCAGTGATTCCGACCATGAAAGCCTTCGACAACACAATTTATATGGTTGTTTTTATGGGGGGGGGGGTTGCTTTAGGCAAAGGAGTAGTTTTGCCAATGCTTTCCTTTGAAATAGAGTCAACAACAGCTTGGGAAGCCTTCAGGTCTTGGGGAAGGGGCTTCCTTTTGGCTGGGGGATTCTGGGAGTGGGAGTCCGCAAGGAAGCCCCTTCCCTCCCTACTTTGGAAATCCCAATATTGCAATCTTTAGGAGGCTTCCCTCTCCATCCGGATCTCTTTCCTGGGCCGGCCTTGACTCCTCCTCTTGAGAAGAGAGCGGTCCCTCCTTTCTGTTCACAGCTGCTGAGAGGCAGAGCCAGCCAGGACAGAGACTTCGGAGCCTGGGTTTTGGGGTTCTGAAGCGGATTTGGGGATGCAGGAGCGCATCCTGGGAGAGAGGGAAAGGAGCTGAGCTGAGCAGCAGGATTCGCATCCAAGTCGGGAGCCGCTTTTGGTCGGAAAGTCGGGAATCGCTTTTGGGCAGGTGAGAAAAACAACAAACCCCTTCGAGATGCGACTTGTAGGCTCATAGGACCCTAGAAGAGTTGGGACCCCCAAAGGCTATCTAGTCCAACCCTCTTTTATTGTGCCAGGTAGGAAAGACACCATCAAAGCCCCTTCCGACATTAGCCAAGATTCCAGAGGACAAGAGCAGAATTCAAAACGATCTTGACAGATTAGAGAGATGGGCCAAAATTAACAAAATGAAGTTCAACAGTGACAAATGCAAGATACTCCACTTTGGCAGGAAAAACGAAATGCAAAGATACAGAATGGGGGACGAAGCCTGGCTCGAGAGCAGTACGTGTGAAAAAGATTGGAGTCCTCGTGGACAACAAGTTAAATATGAGCCAGGAATGTGATGTGGCAGCAAAAAAAGCCAGTGGGATTTTGCCCTTAATGAATAGTAGCCTAGTGTCTAGATCCTGGGAAGTCATGCTCCCCATGCTCTATTCTGCTTTGGTTAGACCACACCTGGAATATTGTGTCCAATTCTGGGCACCACAATTCAAGAGAGATATTGACAAGCTGGAATGTGTCCAGAGGAGGGCGACTAAAATGATCAAGTGTCTGGAGAACAAGCCCTATGAGGAGCGGCTTAAGGAGCTGGGCATGTTTAGCCTGAAGAAGAGAAGGCTGAGAGGGGATATGATAGCCATGTATAAATATGTGAGAGGAAGCCACAGGGAGGAGAGAGCAAGCTTGTTTTCTGCTTCCCTGGAGACTAGGACGCGGAACAATGGCTTCAAACTACAAGAGAGGAGATTCCATCTGAACATGAGGAAGAACTTCCTGACTGTGAGAGACGTTCAGCAGTGGAACTCTCTGCCCCGGAGTGTGGTGGAGGCTCCTTCTTTGGAAGCTTTTAAACAGAGGCTGGATGGCCATCTGTCAGGGGTGATTTGAATGCAATATTCCTGCTTCTTGGCAGAATGGGGTTGGAATGGATGGCCCAGGAGGTCTCTTCCAACTCTTTGATTCTATGATTCTATGATTTACAAAAGCCTCCAAAAAAGGAGCTTCTTGACCTGGGGCTTTTTCTTCTCATGTTCTTCACAAAGTCTGGGGATGCATCTGCATCCACACTGTGGAATTAATGCTGTTTTGTAGTGATATTTGAAGGGAGCGCGTAAAAGAAGAAGTAAAAATCAAAAGGTAATGAGTGGGAATAGTTCTGGTACAGTTCCCTCCAAATAACTTGCTCCTATTGTTATCCCTTTCAAGTTTTTAAACATTTTATCCTGTACTAGCTGTCCCCTGCCATGCATTGCTGTGGCCCAGTCTGTTGATCTGGAAAATAAAGTAATGAGAAAGTGTCAGTTTCTAATATATGTCATGTCTTAATGCTTGTGGGTAAATAGTATTTCTTGCTGTTGATTTGTCAGTGTTGATGTGGAGAGTGTCTGGTTTGCCCACCCTGGAACATGCAAGATATCATTGTCCTTCTTTAGGGTCCCTTATAAATTGATAATATATATAAATAAAAATGTGTCGAAGGCTTTCATGGCTGGAATCACTGGGTTGTTGTAGGTTTTTTAGGGCTATAAGGCCATGTTCTAGAGGCATTTCTCCTGACGTTTCGCCATAGATGCAGGCGAAACGTCAGGAGAAATGCCTCTAGAACAGTGGTTCTCAACCTTGCTATTGTCGTGACCCCTTAATGCAGTTCCATATGTTGTGGTGACCCCCAACCATAATATTGTTTTTGTTGCTACTTGATATCTCTCATTTTACTAAATTGAGCACAAATACCCAATATGCCTTAATGTGAATGCCAGTGGGGTTGGGGGGGGGGGGTTGATTTTGTAATTTGGGAGTTGAAGTTGCTGGGATTTATAGTTCATCTATAATCAAAGAGCATTCTGAACTCCACCAGCGGTGGATTTAAACCGAACTTGGCACACAGAACTACCATGACTAACAGAAAACACTGGAAGGGTTTTGTAGGCATTGACCTTGGGTTTGGGAGTTGTAGTTCACCTATATCCAGAGGAGTGCTGTGAATTCATGCAATGATGAATCTGGACCAAACTTGGTATAAATACTCAATATGCCCAAATGTGAACACTGGTGGAGTCTGGGGAAAATAGGCCTTGACATTTGGGAATTGTAGTTATTGGATTTATAGGTCACCTACAATCAAAGAGCATTCTGAACTCGACCAACAATAGAATTGGGTCAAACTTCCCACACAGAATCCCAATGACCAACAGAAAATACTATGTTTTCTGATGGTCTTTGGCGACCCCTTTGACACCCCCTCACGACCCCCTCAGGGGTCCCAACCCCCAGGTTGAGAAACACTGCTCTAGAACATGGCCCTATAGCCCGAAAAAACCCATAAGAACCTTATGATACTATATCTCTCTGTGTGTGAATCATATCTATCTATCTATCTATCTATCTATCTATCTATCTATCTATATCTATGGCTGGATGGCTCTTTGTCAGGAGGACTTTGTTTACATTTTCTTGCCCTGATGTTGAATGGAATGGCCTTAAGTATTTTCTGTTGGTCATGGGGGTTCTGTGTGGAAAGTTTGCCCCGATTCTGTTTTTAGTGGGGTTCAGAATGCTCTTTGATTGTAGGTGAACTGTGAATCCCAGTGACTACAACTCCCAAATGTCAAGGTCTATCCCAAACTCCATCTGTGTTCATATTTGGGCATATTGAGTCTTGTGCCAAGTTTGGTCCAGATCCATCATTGTTTGAGTCCACAGTGCTCTCTGATGTAGGTGAACTACAACTCCCAAACTCAAGGTCAAATGCCCACCAAACCCTTCCAGTATTTTCTGTTGGTCATGGGAGTCCTGTGTGCCAAGTTTGGTTCAATTCCATCGTTGCTGGAGTTCAGAATGCTCTTTGATAGTGGGTGAACTATAAATCCGAGCAACTACAACTCCCAAATGACAAAATCACAATTTTTAAAGTGATGGTCACTCCTTGTGTAGTGAGACATTTTGTTGCCAAATTTGTTGTGATTTCGTTCATTGGTTCTTTTGTTTTTAAGGTACTCATTATGCACAGAGCATTTATATATATATAGATATGTGGCCTGCCCATTCTCTCTGTGATTGTGGTTTTTATAATGATATTTTGTTACTGTATTCATATGTTATTTTCTTTTTTTTAATGTAATTTTGATGCTGTTGTTTGTTGTTGTTTTGGTTTTATTTTTGTCATCCGGGCTTGGCCCCATGTAAGCCACTCTGAGTCCTCCTTGCGGAGATGGTGGTGGGGTATAAATAAAGTTTATTATTATTTATTATTATACATAGTGGGAAGTCTGACTTGGCCACAGTGGCCCACATTCTTGCTACATCCCGAATAGACTACTGCAAAATGCTCTATGTGGTGTTGCCCTTGAAGACTGTTCGGAAGCTTCAAATGGTCCAAAGGGCGGCAACCAGGTTACTAACAGGAGCAGCATTCAGGGAGCACACTACTCCTCTGTTGTGCCAGCTCCACTGGCTGCCAATTTGCCACCGAGCACAATTCAAAGTGTTGGCTTTAGCTTATAAAACCCTAAACCAGTATTTCTCAACTTGGGGGTCGGGACCCCTGGGGGGGGAGTTGCAAGGGGGTATCAGAGGGGTCACCAAAGACCATCTGAAAACATAGTATTTTCTGTTGTTCATTGAGGTTCTGTGTGGAAAGTTTGGTCCAATTCTATCGTTGGTGAGGTTCAGAATGCTCTTTGATTGTAGGTGAACTATAAATCCCAGCAACTACAAGTTTATTTTCCCAAAACTCCCCCAATGTTCATATTTGGGCATATTGAGTATTCGTGCCAAGTTTAGTCCAGATCCATCATTGTTGGAGTCCACAGTGCACTCTGGATGTAGGTGAACTACAACTTCAAAACTCAAGGTCAAGGCCCACCAGACCCTTCCAGTATTTTCTGTTGGACTTTTGTGGGAGTTGTGTGTGCCAAGTTTGGTTCAATTCCATTGTTTGTGGAATTCAGAATGCTCTTTGATTGTAGATTAACTATAAATCCCAGCAACTACAACTCCCAAATGACAAAATCAACCCCCCCCCCCCACCAGTATTCAAATTTGGGTATCAGGTATTTGTGCCACATTTGGTCCAGTGAATGAAAGTGCCTCCTGCATATTTACATTATGATTCATAATAGTAGCAAGTTTACAGTTATGAAGTAACTACAAAAATAATGTTATGGTTGGGGGTCACCATAACATGAGGAACTGTATTAAGGAGTCGCGGTATTTGAAAGGTTGAGAAACACTGCCCTAAACTATTCTGGACCAGCTTACCTGTCTGAACGTTTGGAGCCATCTAGGAGCCTCCTATGAACCATCTAGGACTTTAAGATCATCTGCGGAGGCCCTGCTCTCGATCCCACCTGCCTCACAAGGGCAACTGGCGGAGACGAAGGACAGGGCCTTCTCAGTAGTGGCCCCCCGGCTATGGAACTCCCTCCCCAGGGATATTGGATCAGCCCTCTCCCTTCTGACTTTGCTTAAAGACCTGGCTCTTTGAGCAAGCTTTTGAGAATGCAACGGAATAGATAACACAGAACTATGAATGATGAACGTGGAATGGCCAGACGATGTTACTGGATAACGTTTTCAACAGGATGACACCGATGATTCTATGTTTTTAAACGGTTTTTATTTATTTATTTATTTATTTATTTACCTTACATATATACCGCTGTTCTCAGCCCGAAGGCGACTCACAGCGGTTCACAACAAATACGAACAGAAAAAATTCAGTGCTACAGTATAAAAACAGTCAACAACCTAACACATTACACAATTAATAAACAGTTACTACAATACCCATTCACTGTCGTCTCATCATCAAAAACATAATCCAGATTCGTCATCCATTGTTCCATTCCAGTGTTCATTAACCAATCATTGCACTAATTATTCGAACGCCTGCTCAAACAGCCAGGTCTTCACTTTTTTGCGGAATACCATTAGAGATGGTGCTAGTCTAATGTCCGTGGGAAG